CACGCAAACATCAAATTTTGATTCATCGCTAAAAATGATTCTTTTCCAGTCTTCAAAAGTCCACATTGCCCGTTACTTTGCCCACGCTAATCGTCTTTTCTTTTGTTTTTCCGTCAGCAACGGCTTCTCTTTTGCCTAAACCAATGATATCACTGCATAAATATGAGATTTTCCTTAAACGTAACCTACGTACCTTATAAAAATGTAAACCAGACTTATGGATCCAGCGACGATACGTTTCTCGTGAAACATTTCCAATTGTTTCTTCATTGCATTTTGCTGTTATTTCCCTTACAGTACTTCGGCGATTGTTTTACAAATCCGAACAAGAGATCTGTGACTTTGCGTGGCCGACCAGCACCATGTCTTAAAATCTGAGTTGAACCTGTCTCTCCATATTTTTTCACAATATCTGACACCGTGGACTGTGCGACATTTATTTGTTTAGCAATATCCCGAAAGGTTTTTCCTTGGTTAAACAGTTTTACTATTAATTCTCTAATTGAACCATTTGCTGCTTTACCACGCCGCGACATTTTGGAGCCAATTGATAATCTAATTAATTCTCAAGTTAAAATGTCAAAATAGAAAAAAAAAATTTTCTTTCCATGGCTTGCTATTATTTGTTTTACTAACGTGTCCGAACATTTATGTGTCAGCAAATATTGCATTTTTATCAACATTAGTTTAGTTTTATTAATCAATATTAGTTTATTTGAAAACAATTTCATAAATATGATGTAAACAATACATATTATGTCTTATAAATGAAAAAAAATATGATATTGAATCCCTTAAGGAAATTTTCAAAGTTTTCACAAAATCAGTTGATGTCCGAACATTTTTGTGTTAGGGCTCGTATATTCGATGATTTTAGTCCAGTCTATTTGATTAAAAAGATTACTGGCACCTACAAAATTGAAGCCGTTATCCGTATATGGTTGAAACTCTGGATCTTCTTGCTAAAAATCGACTTAAAGCCATTATAAAATTATCAGTTGAAAGTTATTTTACCAATTCCAAATGTATCGCTCTGTATACTGCACAGATAAATAAAATAATCCAAGCTTTGCCTCCTTCTTTTAGATATTATATATTTTAACAGTTTTTCTTCCTCGTAAAATCCAGAACCTTTTTCTTAATATAGATAATAATATTTGTACTCCAGCATGACTATGAACATTATGTTGATATTCTATTAGCCTATGAACAATTTTGTTTTTAAATGGTAATAGAATTTAATTTAATTTAAAATCGTCATTATCTTCAGCAAGATTTAATCTAGTTTTTATTCTAATAATACCATTTTCATCTTTGAAGGTTTCAAGATTTTCATTAGTTTAATTTCTGTACTAAAACTCTCTATCTGAACCATTTTCAAAAGCACAATTTCGGCTTTATTGACTTCCTCGACGTAAGAACACCAAATATTTTTGAATTGTTTTTCTTCGTGCTGTTACAAAAACGAAACACACAAGCTAACATCCTCAAAATTTGATTATATTTAAAAAAATATAAAAACATCCACACATATGCTGCAAAAAAGTTGTGGATATATTCAGAAATCGCAAAATATTCATTAAAGATCAATATAATAATTTACATGGACCTAGAATAGTCAATCAAGGATTACCTCAAGGTGCGGTTCTAAGTCCTATTTTGTTTAACGCATATACTTACAGTCTGCACAATTTCTTTGATTCTCACATTAATTGTATTTAACATGTTGACGATTTTTGTTTTTATACCATACAGAACAGTTATAGACAATGTATAAAAGAACTTAAATACATTCTTTATTGGTTTAGTAATCACTCGTTTACAATATTATTTGAAAAATCGGCAATGGTGTTTTTCAAGAGGCTGCATGCTCCTCCGAATATTACTTTGTTTGGTGTTGATATACCCATTCAGAAGACATATAATAAGCTCATCTGGAGGGACCATTAGCCATATCAAAAGTAAATGTGAGAAAGGGATAAACTTGTTGAACTGTGTAACTAAAAAGTTAGTGGGGAGCTGACCCTTATACCTCTCTACTCTTTTACAAAGCATATGTACGTTCTATAATTGACTATGGTCTTGTACGGAGCAGCTGCAAATGTTCACTTCAAAAAAATTGATATATTACAATATGCTGATGTAAGAATATGTATAGGTGCTGATTAAATTAAGGTTAAATCATCTATAAATTGGCAACCACGCATTTCCTAATCACCGTATTTGGATTTTTGTTTAGTCGTTACCATGACAACGGTCCCTATTACAATAATTTTGCCGTAACTGATTTCAACTAAACAAATGAAAATGAAATCATCTCCTATAACTTGCCAACTACGAATTTCCACACCACGGGAGTTGAGCTTTTGTTTAGTCGTTACCATGACAAGCAAAAGAACTTCCAGAGTTAAAACAGATGGTTTTCAAAAAACAAAAACCTGTATTTTGTCACATGCACTATGATAAAACTCGGAACGGACAGATAATTAAGAGAAGTCATAATTAAAACAAATGATCTCCTTACCAATATCGTTCATTTGGCATATATCTTACTCCTATTGGAGGGTGGGGCAAAACTGCCCTTCTCCTTTATGACTAATTTGTAAATATAGACGAAATAAAAATAAATGCTATTATTTATGGATTCTACACAAGAATAACTCATTTTTAAGTATATCTAATCTCAATAACTAAAAAATATACTGACAATTAGTAGATAATAGTAGCTGGATGACTAAAATATAAACTGTGATTTTAATTGAATCGGTGAGTCAAAGAACAGTACTAGTCCAAAAATGGTATTCTGAGTAAATTAAAAAAAAACTAAATAACTATTTTGTTATTTGACATATAAATTTGATATGTGCATATCAAATGTAAAGCTATTTAAGATGAGTGTAAGAGATGTTTCAACTATTAAATAGAGTTTGTATCTGAAATATTTAAAAAAATATATTGTGGACATGTACTGTTTTTTAAGTCAATTATATAGTTTATATTTTATTTCTAGTAGCCTCTGTTTTATAAATAATGCAAGGTTGACAAATAAACTAATATAATATATTATTGCAAAACACATGCACGTAGCTGGGGAGAGGGGTCCGAGGTGCCCCCACCACCACTCAGCATCCACTTCTTCGGTTTCATGGGTTGCATGTGGACCAGGAGGTGACGTGATAGTAAAATTCCAGCAATTCTCCTGTAATATATTGCATTACCTTTTTTACGGCATTTATTTTTTTTACATTTATTGGAATTTGTTGTTCGTATGCGCATTTGGTAGGAAGGTGTGGACAATTTTGATTTTGTTTCATTAGTTTAAAGCTATGAGATACTAGACCACCTGCCTATAATTTGACAGAGAAAACTCTACAGCAGTTGTATTTTTTTTTTAAACTGAGGTCACTAATTTTTAAAATCTAAAATATATTTTTTTATTGGTAAATGATTTGATTTGTCGAAATGACGATATCATTTCCTCATATTTCTCTGGAATATATACACGATCGCATCTTCTAACGCACCTTTTTAGTACTCTAAAATCCCTATCACAGAGCAAAAATGAGTGGTCTCTGTTCGAAAAATGTTAGAATTTTTTTAAAACGTGATGTTGCTACTATTTTGAAGAGAAAATTAACAGAATCAACTCTCACAGAGCGATTTTCGAAACTAACAAAATAATATTCAAAACATCAACTTCAAAGTAACAGTAACAAGTGGAAGAACAGTACAATTCCAGGACATGTTTCCATGTAGTTTATACTGCCGAATCTATTGTGTGTATTGCACTGTTTTTGATTTTAATGAGTGGAGACACATGTTAATATCAATTTGGCTATCTTAACTCAAAACGTCATTTTTTGGACTAGTACTGTTCTTTGACTTACTGATTCAATCATTTGTAGTGTTCTTACTAGGTAGCATGGATATGAAATATATTCGTTCAGTCAAACGTAATGTCATATTTTTTCGTTTTGTAGTCTGTGCGTAGATAAGCTAATAGCTATGTGGGTGTAGAAAAAATTTTATTAACTTTATTATTAAAAAATTTACTTTTAATAAAAATTTACAGTAAGTATTGTCTTGTATCTGAATTAATGTGGGTAAATCTTATATTTAAATTGTCACGTTAGGCGTTATTTTAATTAAAACATGTCACGTTTAACGTGTTTTAAATAATTATGGGACTATCTATGTCCCGGGGGCCAAATAACAAAACATATAAATTCGGACCTCAATCGTATAGGGACTCTATTTCCTTAAAATAGGCTTCGTGGCTATGGCCTATATGAGGGGTTTATTCGGCAATTAAAAACCTTTGAAGATTAAAGAAAACACAACGTTTTCTTAAAACAAATATAGTATATATTTAATATAAAAATACAAAATAGGCTACAGCTCGACATACACAAAAATGGGCTTAATGTAATAACAAATACATAAAACGTAGACTTACCAACTCCACTAATATTTGGGGCACATGTCACAACTCTTGCCTGACTATTAAAACGCAATTATTCAAAATACTAAAAAACGACTTTTAATTTAAACTATGAAGATTATGAGCTGAAGCTGCTACAGGGAATCCCCTACAAGGGGGACCTCCTATGGGGAGGATCCGTTCCCTGTGGAAGAAGCCCTCCGCATCTCCTCGACATTACTTTTATCACTTTTCCATAGTTTATTGTTATTAAAACTAATGTTTAATAATTATTAAATAATCAACCTTGCACATTATTTCAATTTAAAACAAATTGTCGACCTAATTAAACAAAGTTTAAATTTACAATTAGGAAAAATATGAATTTATACGAGTCGTGACAATATCCTTGATGGTTTCAACAAAACATTCCAGACGCTTTTGTAATTTCTTCGTACTCTCGATGTTTTATCACGAAGTTCATTCATCCTCCTTTTACATTTTGTATGTAAGAAATCATCAAATATATCTAAAACATTTAACGTCTTCTTCGAATGTTAATTTTTTTTTATATTTGTAGCACTTCTAAATGTACCCGTATCAATAATAGCGAAATCAAGAAGTTTTGTAACGACAATTTTGACGTTAACTTTATTGGCTTTTCTACTTGTATGGTATGTCCAGTACATATGGAGAAGACGGTATCTATATTATTATTCCTGGAACATACCAGGACCGTTTGCATTTCCTTTTATTGGATGTACTTACTTATTTTTAGCAGCAAAAACGGGTGGTAAGTAAAATTTTCAAATGTATTTTATAAAATTCGTATCCAACAAGAATCAATTATAAAACTAGGTAGGAAATTGAGTAACATACAATAATTATTTGTTTTATTGCATCATCTTAGACAGCGTTTCTCAAACAGAAGTTGGTGAATCCTCAAGTACATCGAGCGAAACGAGACTTTCCTGGAATGCACTCGAAAGATATAAAAACGTTTGAATTGAAGTCTTAAATTTAAGGATTTTTTCTTATCCGTCCATTCACTTTTTCCTCTTCTGTATCCAATATACTTTGGCTGCAAAAACTGGCATTATTAGTCGACATTTTTTCTAGATTAAATCATTCAAATCTGTTTATAAGGTCCAGAAGTCACTATTTCTAATATGCATGTCAGATAGAGGCCATGGTAAAGAAGTTCTATAAATGAATGAGTACAAATATTTTTTTCAAAAAATGAGAGTCAATGAAAATATTAAAAGGGATGTTACTAATCAAACAGCTTTAATTAATGTTCAAGGACTATTTTCCTAAGAAACCTGGATACGTAATTCTTTTCAAGGAGATATAACTTCGGATCCTTCTTTTCTTTTTTTTCTTCTATATTTTGTAGGATTATAACAGTAAGATGCTTAATGTTTATTTATTTTTTTATTTACCTAAACATACAGGCCTAATTATAAGGAAAATTTCACATCTCTATTTTATATTGAACGAATTTATGGCTTTTTCATCATTACGACTAGTAAATAATATTCAAATCCAAGAGGAAATATACTGGAATTAGTAATGACATCACAGTTAGCGGACATTAAGGTAGATAAGTGTTTTCAACCTATAGTAAAAGAGGATGTTATGTTTCATCCGGCATTAGATATTTATATTAAAATAATTAAAAAGGGGCATAAAATCAGTGCAACTCAAAATAATCTAGGAAACAAATTTAATTTTAAAAAAGCAAATTTCGATGAAATGATTACGGGTAAGTTGGGATAAAGTTTTGAGAGAGAAGAATGTTGATATGGCCATAGATTATTTTTATGAGATAGTTTATAAAGTTTTTGAAAATAGTGTTGAGAAATTTAAAAATAACGATAAAAATTTTAACAAAAAGCAATTTCCCATTTGGTTCACAAACGACATGAAAGTTATGGTAAAAGAAAAATGTATATTAGGGAAGTTAAGAAGGATATCTGATGAATATAATAAAAAATGTATTCAGCTTAGAAAGAAATTAAAAGATCTAACACGGTTAGAACATAAAAAATACATAATAGAGACAGAGCAAAATATTACGGAAAATATCAATAGCTTTTGGTCATATATTAATAAAAAACGAGGAAGTTGTTTTTTAGAAACGAAAAAGTTTCATCTTAACAATACTGTTTTACCGATAAATCAACATGCTCAGAATTTTGCTAATTATTTCGAAACTATGTATAATAAGGACCATAGTAATTATGAAGAAGTAAATGTGGGTATCTGTAATCACGATATACTTAGTTTTAGTAAAGTGACCTCAGAAGAATATAAACTGGCGGTAAAAAAGTTAAAACAAAAAAAATCAACTGGAACTGATAAGCTTCCTCCATATATGGGTCATTCTCAAAAATGACTAAACAACCGTGAATATTTTGAGTTTTTTCTGACAGATGAACAAATATTATTATTAGTTCTCTTAGGTGTGTGCTTTTGAAGCTCTAATAATGGTTGTGCTTAATTTTTAATATTTTGATAAAAAACAATGTTTTTAACAACAATATGATAACGGAGGATAGTAAAGATAACGGAGTGAACTTTTACAAATTTTTATTTAAAAAACATTACAAAAACAAGCTTATTGTAAGTTTAAAATTTTTTCTAATTCCGTATCTTCAAAAAAATATTGACCTCGTCTTAGTCTTAAAACAAAATCTTTCTTGTCGACCAAAGAAATATCGTCTTTGTATGGAAAAGCGAATCTTATATCTTCGTTTATTTTTCCTTTTCTTCTCATGAATTTTATTTTTATTTCATCAGTTGTCTTATCATGATGTATAACTTGTCCTATATAATGAACGACTCTGTCTCGTCCAAATAATTGAACAATATAGAAATTATTCTCTTCAAGCTCCATAATTTGGTCGTTCAATGAAATGTTTTCTTTATTTTCATCGTCACTACTAGAACCATAAACATCACTTATTCTCATTTTATCTGTTTTCAACGTATAAGGAACGTCTAAATTTGAGTCCACATCCGAATCAACCATCAATTTCTCTTTCAATTCAATATGACCAAGGTAATAATGAGAGCAGTTTATAATATTTGAACAGTCTGTGCATGTCAAAGAACGACATTCTATTCTAGATGGATCTGATTTAATCCAAAACAGCTCATGTATTTTTAAGGTTCCTCTGAATACTTTCAAATCGGCTTGAAGAAGTAAAGCATCAAAGTAAACAATATCAGCTTCGTTGATAGTAACAATTTGAACAGATTTCATGTGTTTTCCAAGAGTTTCAACCAATACATCAAAATCTGACACATCCTTTCCAAGAGCCACAATTCTGTCAGCTGTGCGCTTAACAACACCGCCAATTCCATCTGGAGCGCCCTTTCCGTGACCACTTTCACTGTAGTGCCAACTCAAAGAGCCCACTTCAAGAGTTTTTGCTATAAAGGTGTAAATCAGGTAGAACATCTTTTTATTTTTATATTGCGTTGTTGGCCCATCGCTGAGAAAGTTTATTTTTCTCAGGTTCTTCACGTTTTCCTTAAGAAGCTTAAAAATTGGAACCAAATGGGCACATATTGCTGCAGGATCGTGTCTCAGCTCCTTAGACAAACTACAGCAGCTTACGTGTTTAACTGAATTCGTTAATGGACACTGATAGTAAAATACAACCGTATGTAGAGAAATTTGAGGCTTTGAAGCGCCAAAATGAGCCGACTGTACTTCAGCTGCATATTTGCATCCATAACTCTCAGAAAAGTCCATGTGAACTAAAGCCTCTTGAAAAGAAATATTTTTTTTATCTCGATAGCTTTGTATTGATGGTTTATGTTCAGTACATGTTGCATAAACTTCGGAAGATTAGTTTTAAGTTAACAAAGTAGTTCTACTGCAGTATTTTGTATGTCTTCTTTAATTGTTTTTTTACATTCGCGTTCTTCATTCTTGATAAGAACTTTCACTGTGTTTGAGTTCCATTGTTTATAGGTTATAAGCGTTTCTGGGTCGAAATCGTTAACTACAATTCCTTGCACTTCGTACAACTTCTGGCCAAACATTTTTCCTGCAATATATTTTCGCAACACAAGCTTTTAATAAGCTGATCTGGAAAGCTGCAATTAATTATTCTCAGTTGCCGGAGTTTTGTAGTCATCAATGACATATTTTCATGAAGCGCACACAAGCAAGTTTCTCTTGATCTTGCGTTTGGAATCAAAACCCAGAAAGGTCTACTCTTACAAAAAGTTGCATAGCTTAAATTTTTGTATTGAGGGTGCGATGATAGAAATTTCTTGTGGAGATTATCCAATGAATCATTCAATAGCCTCTTTTGTTTCTTCGACTTTTTAAGAGTTATCGTGTCTCTTTTTCCTGGCAATAATCTGCTTGATTCATCTTTCTCGAAGAAATCTCTTACAGCCTTCTGTTGTCTTAACAATTTTCGCTTGAACGAAGTTGTTTTTTCTGAGTTGTCTTTGTAATGAGCGTATGCTTGTCAAAATTAGATATTTTATTGTTCGACTTTCGGTTCTTAGCTCTAGATAGTTTTTTTCTATATTTACTTATTTTTTTTCCAAAGGACCCCGCAATAATCTTATGGAAATTGGGTTTGTGTCAAATTGTCTGAATTTTTGATATGTTGTAGATTTTGTCATCCTGAACAAAAGTCTCTATGGGCACAAAGTGCCAAAATGAATATTTTGGCAGCTACGGAGCTGCCAAACCTCCCCTGACCCGTTGCAAAACTATTCATTTTCAATACTATTTACAGATGTCAAAAGCATATTTTGATTATTCTAATATATAGGGTAATGTTTTTGAGGTCACTGGATTCAACCCTCATGTCAGATTGGACAAAGTGACCGTTGACAGCTGTCAATTCACGGTCAACGAGGAATATAAAAGTAAATATCCTCTTTGCACATTGAGAGTTTGGGTTTTTGCACATACTTTGATAACTATACGAGGCAAGAGAGAGGTCCGACACGCACAACATAGGGCTCGGCCATTTTGAACCCTGTGACACAGTTTACAGCTAAAGAATCAGATCGCTCACCCTGCGTCGGCACTTTTGATCTTAATGTTTCAGTTTATACACTGTGCAACTCGAATAATACAATATATGACAACCGCCTATAATAAAACAGCAGTCTTCTGCGTATCCTGAATTTGTATCCCTGGAGTGGATGTTATTTTGGAACTTTCAACTGGTCCGAGTGAGCTAACTAATTCTTTAGCAATAAACTGTGACTTCAAAAATAATATTCACTGACACTGACAGCAGCAAGCAAAATATCAGTGCGTTTTAATCATCCGCTTCTGCTTCCGGAATTGTCGGTTTAGTCGTTTCAACCTGTCAGATTAAAACAAGAAAACCGACAATTCCGAAGCAGAAGCGGATGATTAAAACGTACCTATTAAAAATATTGCGCCAAGATGTAGGCAACACGTAATAAGGGTTCAAAATGGCGGAGTTTTCTATCTCCTTTTAAAAGGCACTCAGAAAGCTGGGCAGTGCGACCATTCTCCGTATAGTAAAAGAAAATCAAAGTATGTGGGTTTTTGAGGTCGGTGACATTTGACAGCTGTGAGCTGTCAATTCGTCCAATCTGACATGAGAATTGAATCCAGCGACCTCAAAAACCCAAACTCTCAATGTGAAAAGAGGATATTTACTTTTATATTCCTCGTTGACAGTGAATTGACAGCTGCCAACGGTCAATTTGTCCAATCTGACATGAGGGTTGAATCCAGTGACCTCAAAAACATTACCCTATATATTGGAATAATTAAAA